CAGGAAGACAGGCAAAGTGGCTCCTTATATAACATGAGAAGCTTGAAACACAGGCCAGCCCTCATAAAGAAATGTTCAGATTCTCTTACATAAGACTAGATTTAGCTTGTATGCATGTCTGTAGAGGCGTACACATAGCCGCGGAGGTAGGTTTCGATGAAAATCTCTGATATTGTGGATCTTATATATAATGTATACAAAAAGAAAGAATCTTGTTTTCAAAGTAGGATACTTTGCTAGAATCAAAAAGTGAATATAGGAGCTATCCAAAGATTTTTGATCGTTGAAAAACATAGGTTTGCCTTCAAATAAACGTGTGGCTTGGCAGCTTGAGGTTTTTGTTTGTTTTCATTTTTCTTTTTTTGTGACAGTGTCTTGTTCTGTTGCCCAGGCTGGAGTACAGTGGCACGACCACGGCTCACTGCAGCTTTGAACTCCTAGGCCCAAGTGATCTTCCCGTCTCAGCTTCCAGAGCAACCGAGACGACAGGCACACAGCACTATGCCTGGCCAGTTTTTTTTTTTTTTTAAATTTTTATTTTTTGTAGAGATGAGATCTCAATATGTTGCCCAGGCTGTTCTCAAACTCCAAGCAATCCTCTCGCCTCGGCTTCCCAAAGCGTTGGGATTATAGGCATGACCCACTGCACTCAGCCACAAGACTGTTTCTTGTTTCTCTCCTGAGGAATTGTAAGATTAGTACCGGAGGTGACAGCTCACCTTTGCAGAGCTGATGGTGGCAGCAGACATTATTGAGGCAGCAATTTCTGTTCCTTGCTTGTATTTTTCCTCCTATTCCCATTCTTCAGATGAAGTAAAAGCGTTAGAGAAATGAAGGACCTCTTCTAAGTCCCCACAGGTAATAGCCTCAGACAGTATTAGAACCCAAGCTGTTTGACTCTCCCGACTTGTAACTTTGTTTTTTGGGAGTCTGATACAGTTGGGTCATTTGGTGTTTTATAACTTACTTGGGACAGGAGTGGTGGTGGACAGGAAGCTCCATGCTGGTAGCTCCAAATCAGCCTTGAACTGAACTGTTGAATCAGGTCTGTGTGCATTTCAAACCAGCCTGCGACACAGAGGGGAACAGAATGGATCCTTCCCCCGTCACTCATTTATAATCCCAACCACCCTCTCTTCATTTTACTGGCTTTCCCCCCATTATGTTACCATCTGTCTTCAAAACATTGCCTGGGTAAAGACAAGCTGGAGCAGTTGCTCGCCCTCAAACAAAACGCAGAACCACTACTCACGCCCATTCTGCTCCCCCCCCCAACTAGTGCCGAGTACCATATTTGAGGAATTCCATATTTATAAAGCTTGCCTGCACCTCAACGCTGTCTGCTTGCTGTCCTTTTTATTATTCTTCAAATATGTTATGTGCTGACTGGAAACGATTAGCTTTTGTTACTGACGGGTTTGTGGGATGCTTGAAACAGCTTCGTATAGTTCTCAGATGGAAATGCGTGCTGTTTGCTCCTTTAAGAAATGAAATTTCTTAATGAAAGACAGCAGAGAAGAGAATGCATACTGAGGTTCCCCACCCAGCTCTCTGGGTTTCTCTTCGGGTAATTGTGGTAGGATTTTATGTCATGGCCCTGTGGAGCGAATAAACAGTGACTCTCCGGTATACTTTTTTCTGGGTCTGTACCCACCTCTTCATGCCTCTGAGTAGGGGCCCTTGTTAATGTCAAGGGCAGTGCTCTGTCCCCAGCAGAGCTGTAGTGTTGCCCCCAGCTCTGATCCCCTCACGTTCTTTTCCTGGCTGTTGACACTTCCAACATCCTGCACATCTGGGCAGACTGGAATTGGAGTTCTTAAATGCCTTCTCTGGCTGGTCCCAGCTCGGTTCTGCACTGGCCTTAGGAGGCTCCAGGAAGTTTGGCGAGGAAAGACCCCCAACAGATCTCAGATGTAAAACTGGATGAGTGTTTCAACTGCTGAAACTTTGGGAGGAAATTATGGATTCGCTACATGTTTGTCAACATTAGTAAAATAGTTACGAGTGATTCTTTTTTAAAAAAATTACGCAATCATATTTTTTTCATTCAGAAGTGTTACTTAGGGAATGGCTGAGATGCGTATGACTCCAGATTTCTCTGTCAGGCACTGTTCTCAGCATTTAAGATTGAGTAATTTTTTTAATCCAGGTGCCATAGCTAGGAACAGCAGAAGCAGAGGTCAGACCCCAGTAAGTCTGACTCCAGAAGCTAGACTCTTAAAGGATGTTACGGGTCCTTCTGGATGCCAGAGTTTTGTGTGTTCAATTTTATTGACATTCTATTTTCATAGCCTGTGTTTATTTCATTGAAAGCCATATAATTAACAGACTGTATGTTCTGTATCTTAGCAAGGTAACTGTCTTTAAGTCAATACAACTTAACACATTACTGTTGACGTATGAATAAGTTTTAATAACCAATTGAGAAATGCATACACATAGTTAAAATAGAATTCAAAAGTAATTTGGAAATGCACTCTGAATAGTTTGATCTTAATTTCTGAAAATCAATGCTGTATGTAAATTGAATGTAGTGTTTATTCCAGTGAAACCCTGCAGGAAGTCTTTTTATAAAGTGAATAATCACCTCCTGAATTGACTGTTATACATAATTTCAGTGTGTGCACCTTTTCTACGTTCTCATCTACCAATCTGAGAATTTGATACTTGAACATTTTTCTATGTTTCAAATGTTGGATGTATTTCCTATGTTACAATAAATCTAGTTATCCATCAAGGCTTAATCAACAGTAAATGCCAAGCTTTAGTCAGAGCAGTTGCTGACTTTGCTCCATTTGCTCAAGGTTAGAGGAAGTATGCCGAAAGGAGATAACTGTAGTTAAATTGCTCAGCGCAAGCCTTCATTTTTCATGTGGGGAATTGCACCTCTTATTACTGTTTTCTTCCTGTCTACGTAATACCTGGGAACAATTTACTCCATGTAATGCCACTCCCATCGTGGTAGTAAGGTTTTTACTGAAGAGGAAGACTTTTAGGGCATGTTGGAGTTTTCACTGGTTATTTTCAAGTTTTTATTTCGTAGCTTTTAGACAGTTCGAAACTAAAGGACTGTACAGGTTTTTTGGTGATGTGATTGTATTACGTGTGTGCTGTGTCTGAGTGGCTCAGCTTGGAGTGTGAATTGCAGTAAATGCAAAAGTGAAAGCTGCAACATGGCTCTCCTGCTCCCAACCACTTCCTGAAGAACGCGCCACGCGGGCCCCAGACTTAGAGACTTAAACTTGAATCCTCAAGATGGAAAGAGTCCAAGTTCCTCATGGTAAAGACCTCAAGTAAACCTAAATGTAGGAACCCTGTTTGCTACTCTAATGTGAATTCAAACGATTGGTTGCCTCCATTGTAAAAATTTCGGTGCCCAATTCTGAAATTTAAACTATTAGAGAATAGAGCCAGAGCGTTGCCATACCTGAAACATAATCTTGCAACTCTCCTGTTTACATGATTCAATTCCTGAAACCAGTTAGAATGTGCATTCTAATCTCTAAATGTACAAGTTATTTAAAAAAAAAAAAGTGAGCTTGTCAGCTCAGCTACAGCCACCAGTCTTAATAAAACTGAGTCACATCCAAATGGGCTCCACTTACACTACCCTCCCATTCTGGGGAGAACGTGGCTGGGGGAGGCAGTCTGAGTCATCACCTGGTTTGTTTGACATACGCTTCCTTCCATAAATTGGGAATGGCAAGCGGCACAGTGTTCTGGGATTGCCTCGGAGAAGGAGCTGTTGCAGCCTGATCAAAATAGGGCCTTTAGGTTTGAAGGATGAGGCTGAGCCCCTATTTTGACTCCAAATGTCAGGGGAGGGGGAGAAGAATTCAACAGATTCAAACAAGGAATATTTGTAAGTACCATTTTTGGAGGTCGGAGAAATGGCGGGGGTGTTGACAGTTGAATTTCTCCCTCGGACATAAAAGATATTTAAGAGACAAATTGGGGGCATTCAAATAAAAATAAAATGGTATCTAGTTCACTAAGTGGGCTTGTTTACTTAAGAGTATTCTTGATGTGGACAGTTAAAATGATTGAGAGAGAGATGATTTGGTAGTTACCATACCAATCCGTTCTGACAATGTTTAATTTAACTTATTTAACTATTTGAAAAGAAATGTATTTCAATTAGGAATCTGTTCATGTCAAATTTGCATCTCCTTTAGGGGTATTTTGAGGGGATGGGAAGAGAGGCGCATGTGTCTCACACATTTTCCTACAGCGGTTTTTGCAGAGGCTTATTGGAGCTTTTGAAAATAAAGAAGTTTAGAATGTAAAATTGTTGGAGACTACAGAGGAAGGGGAAAGGAGGAGTAGATTTATAGCTGAAGTGGGTTTGTAAACTCAGCCTCTGCTTTGGGATTATTCTTTAATAAGTGCCAGACATTCTTCTGATTTTCATCCTGGCTTGGTTGTGGCTCTTTCTCTGTCTGTGAGGCTGGGGTGTTCCCTGTTTTAAAGCCGTAGCTGTCGCAGCCTGGGCGTTTTCTGTTTCTGCTTATGGCTTTTTTTTTTTTCTCTTTTCCTGAATGAGTGTCCTTTGTGTAACCCCAGTAATTCAGAAATCCTGCAGTCATAGGGACTGCCCTGTCATGTGACTTAGGTACTAGGTGCTGGCTGCGATTGGTCAGCAGCTAATTGGCGGGTCCCTATAAGAGGTCTTGTTGGGTCCAGCGTCTGGCCACTCTCCTGTCTGGGCTGCTGCTCAACGCAGTCTGGATGGGGGTGGGGGTGTCTGACCAGTGATTCAGCCACATGTGATAGATTGACTAAGTGACTGCTTTCTTGGGGTCCGCAGACCCGTGGAAGACACTCAAAGTGGTTGTGACTGACTTGATCCAACTCTGGGCTTCCTGAACTGGTAACTGTCACTTTAATATAGGTTACTGATTAAACTCAGAAAAATGTAGCTTAAAATCTTTGCCAGGAACTTGTGTGGACTTATTCTCTGTTCCCCCCACCCCCCCTTGTTCTGATTTGTTTTGTCACAGGAATGAAATGCAGATAACTCTTAGAAAACTTTTGTAGGAAAAGTGCCTCGTGTGATCTGGAACAAAGACGTTTTATAATCAGACTTATCAAGCTGCGAAGAGGGAGTTTTAGAGACGGAAGCAGCAGCATTCTGTCACCAGGAAATACTGCTTTATCCAGAATTGGTAAGTGAAAAGTGGCATTGCTCCCTAATAGATATCATATGTGCATGTGGGAATTGAAAAGTTGTTCACAGACCCCTAACAACGGTGTTGGACAGAGAACACATAAACAGTGAGAAGGTCTAAAGAGCAGCAGAGAATACCGCATAAAGACTGAGAAACAGCCAGGTAATTAACAAAAATGAGCTGAGTGCTATCAGTTCAGCTAAACATATGTAATACAGCTAGATTTGGTCGTTTTATTTTTTCTTGTTTAGGAGGAGAAACAAAATCAGAAAAGGCTGTCTAGTAGAGTTGGGACATTAACTTTCCATAGATGTAGATTTCCATTTAGTCTGATGTAGCATGTATGAAATTTGAAGAGATGCTTTCAGAATTAGTCTACTTGCCCTCCTTTCCTTTCGTCTACATTAGGATGTCAAGTATTTAGTTAGAACTTTACAAGATAAAAGTTATACAAAATGAAAGTCCAAGTAATGCATCGGAAACACCTCCTCCTGATTGGGAAGGGTAGATTACAATGGCAGTAGATTTTTTTTTTTCTTACACTTGTGTCATGAATTTTAAGTTTGGTCTACTTGATTACATTAGTACAGTAAAGGGTGGTTATTTGTATCTATATAGTTCATGACTTTTGAGAGATCGTGATTAGTAGTTCTTATTGGTTTGGTATGCATGTGCCTGCCTATCTCTCTTTCCCTGAAATGTTAAATTCTGTTTTCTAATCTTGAATCTGAGCTGCCTCTATGTTTAAGGGTTCTAAAAAAGACAATAAAGCTTTGAATACCTGTGTTATATACAACACGCTCTTGTTCATGATATATAAGGTAAAAGAATTTTATATTAGGCATGAATGTCTAGTTTCTTAAGAATGTACCGAAAAGGTTGACTAGAATAAGAAAAAGAACATTAGAATAGAATGGTGGGTGACTGCCTGATTTTACCAGTTTCTTATTGGTCCATAGAAGTAATCATGTGATGTCTACTTATAGAACCAGATGAAAAAAATTTTTGTTCTTTAAATGCTAACAATTATATAGGAAATTTTAGCGATCTTCATTTATTAATTTGAATATATAATTGTAACTGTTATTAACAGAATGGGGTAATTTAGAAAATAATAATTCTTTCTTTCTTTTTAAGCTAAATTGGAAATTGAATCGACTTCTGTGACTTTTGGTTCCTGTTCTGTTGCTTTCAAAATCTTAAAATCCTTAACTCAAAAGGGAAAATGTATAATAAAACAGGATAGCAGTGCTGAAATTTCTCTCTCTTGGCAGTGGAGGGCAATGAGGGTGGGGGAAGGAGATGAATATAGTGAGATATATTAATTGTTTCCCCCCCCCTTGTATACTTGGATAAATTTTAAGATCATTTTTCTCAGACTAGCAGCTCTCAAGACTTTTGCATAAGTATTTATTCTTAAAGAAATAGAAAGACAAGATAAGCACGGCTCTTAAGGGCAGGTCCTCCAGTAAGTCAGGAAATTGGTGATCCAAACTTGTGAATATAACAAGTCAATTTGATTTAATATGTGGCATTAGTTTTCTTGAAGCACACAAATTTATAGGTTTTTAGAGTCGTGAAGGCAGAAAAACGGCAACAAAGCATTAAGGTATTTACAGGTAATTTATATTCAACTGCTAGCTTCTGTTTTCAACTCTGTATTTCATGTAAGCAAATACTTGGGGAGAACATGGTGATTTCATAATCTGCATAAATATTGCCGTGCCTGTTGGAAAAAAGCCTCTCATTTTTAGGTTTTCCTCATCCGATTTTGAATGACAAAATGTGATAGAAGCAGGCTGGAACAGTAAATGCTAGAAAGTATATCCCATAAGAATTATCTGAGAACTTCATGTTTTCAATTCTCTTTGCTGTTCTCTGTTCTCAATTTAATATTTAAAAGTACATCGAAAATGAATATCGTTGCTTGCTCTGATTTCTCCTCTGGGGTCATTGAGAGTCTTCACATTTTTGTATACCTTATTAAAAGATATTAATGGCATGCATATGCCTTTGTCTTTGTGGGTATGTAAAGCAACAAATGAAGGGATCTAGTTAAGTGACAGACCTCAAAACAATTTCTCTGAAATAGTATTTGAATGTGCATATTTGGGAATGTAAATGCTTTCCCTTTGGGCTTGTTTCTTAAGTTTTTGGTGTAGTACACGGTTTTACCCAATTAAATTTTTCTTTTGAGGTCTGTGTTTGTATGGGTGTATATATTTGATTGGAAGGGGAAGTTTTAATCACTAGCAAAAACAAGTGGCTGTTTGTTAGAACCCAGATAAGCCTCACAGTGTTGTTCCTATGACAACTGAGTAGTTGGGTGTTGAAATGTAGCTTTAAGTTCTTGGTTTGGAAATGTCATTCAGACCTCCCACTGTAGTCTCATTGAGTAGGAGGATAATGAGAAGGGGAAAAACCATGAAGCAACATAAGTATCTTCGTTCATTTCATGTCTTCCTAACTTGCCTTTGTGTACAGGATCGCCATGGGAGTGGTAAACAGGTCTTGAACAAAGCAGTACTTCAATAAAAAATACATGGAAAGGGTTCAGAAAAGTTGGGGAAGATAAATAACAACACATGGGCCCGATAAAGAGGCAGGAGACATTGGCTTCTATGGGTTTGTGCAAAGCCTTTTACCCAGTACTGACCAGCAGTGAGAACATCTTGAACCAGTTATTGTATAGCTCTTCAAGAGCTGTGAATTTCCTTAAAATGCAATGTGGAGAAAATTCCTTTGGTAGCAGGATGGTTTACCACTTTGGCATAACATTTATTCATCTCCCCCGGGCAGACTACAGAGGATACTGTGTTCTTTAAGGCACAAGTTTTTAAACCAGTTCTTCATTTATCGTTTAACAGCTTTTGTCTTTTTTCTATGGGAACAAGGTCATACTAGTAAAATAGTGATAAAATTTTAAGCATTTTATAGTATATTCAAAAAGTGCTTTTGTAAAGTACTTAGATTGTTGGAGACTTGTATGTGGAACTTGTTTGTGGATGGAGAATTTATGGAGCACTGTATTTGAGGAGAGGGATTGTTTAATGTTTGACATAGCTTAATTATGCAGTTGTCGATTTGCCATGTCTGAAGGTCTTCCTATTTCCTACTCCTAAATGGTTTTAAGCATTTATTTGGTCACTAGAGCCACTTGAAGTTAGAAAGGAAAAGATGTCAGTGGGATTAGTCCCTTACTTAATAAATACACGCCCCCCCATCTCTTCCATAATCCAAAAAGCTCTGAAAATCAAAAGATTTTCATGTAACAAATTTGGCAGCAAATCCTGACCTGAACCGATGTGAAACTAATGATATTCATTGTTTAGCTCATTCAGAATGAATCTTTGTATGTTTTACTGTAGAAGTATTAATGTGTTTGATCATGGAGTATAGTTCCAGACTCCCCTAGAGGTTTATATACTGTGTTGAATAGTCAACCTATTACCTTTATGAAATAATAATAATAGTCAATCTGAATGTCAGGCAAGCGTTTGTGGACCCATAATTACTGATGTACATTAAGCTCATATTATATGCCAGGTACCATTCTAAATGAATCACTGGCATCCTAAGAACAGTGTCTGGCACATAGTAGGTACTTAGTAGACACGTTTTGGTAGGAAATGCTTTACACTTACTAACTTCTTTAACTCACAGAAACAGTATGTGGCCAATGTGCTTGTTATCTCATTTTTACGTGGGGAAACCGATGCTCAGAGAGGTGAAGCAGTCTGCCCAAAGTAACACAGGCAGGAAGTAGTGGAGCCAAGATTTGAAAGCAGGCAGTCTAGCTGCAGTCTGCTCTTAATGATTCTGATTCAGTTACAAGAGAGGACTGGAGACGTGGCGCTGGACTTCTTAACTGAGTCAGAGGCGATATTTGGGTGATTTACTTTATTCCTAGTCACCCTATGTCCCTTAGGATCAAAAGCTGATGATATCACCACTATGGTCATTAACCAGGGCTTTGGTGGAATGCTTATAACAGGTTCTCCTGGGTGGGAGTGCTGGAATTCCAGGGGTCTGAACGCTCTTCACAGGCTTCCCAAGGTGATCTCCGTCAGCCTGACTTCTTCATCTTGAAATTGAGACATGGGAAATAACCCTTTCCTTAACCCTAAGGAAGTTTTCTTGAACAGTGGGAAAAACCTTTCTGTAGACGTTCCTTAAACCCCTTACCCAGCAGGAGGTGTGGAATCAATAAAGAGGGCATGGGTCACCTGAGGGTGTGAGCTCCCTGGCTTGGGAACTACATTGGGACACAGCGAAAGCCCCTCGGGAGAAATCAGGCAGCCCGTGGAACTTTAGCTGCATGACTCTTTGAATTCACAAAAGGAGGCCTTTAACAGTACTTCCCAACAAATCAAATGTATACAAGGTGTGCCTCAAATCCCTATATAGTCCTAGGGATTAAAAAAAATCATTTGCAACTGACAGCAGCTTCCCCATTCTATACCCCAGCTTTTATCCTTATTCCTGCTTAATTTTTCTTCTTAGCACTTCTCTTGTCTGACATATTGTATGTTTTACTTATTTAGTCATTTGGCATTTTGGTTAGACACTAGCGGTATTGTTTTCTTGGAGTAAATACAAAGGTCCTAGATTTAATTTCTCTTTGATGTTCATCTTCCAACTCATTCCTTCCTATCAATCTCAGACTGCTGTAAGTAAATGACTTTTTTGCCCAGCTTTTTTTACTGTTAGTTATCATATTTGTTTTTCTTAAGCTGTACTGATTATACAGTCTGATTTTGGAGAATAGATGTTTCTTCATTCAGGAGGGCGAATTGAGCCAAATTTGAATATAATCATTGGGCAACAAATCCAGAAGTTTAAATTACTGAGGAGAACATGGAAAGCAAACACTTGCATTTTATGAACTACCTTGAATTTAGATAGACAACTGGGGGTAGCAACTGTATATGACATGTTTTTGGGGTAAGACCTCTTAAACCGACCTACTGCCTATTGTTTTCATTTGAAAAATAAATCAATTTTAAACAATTATTCTACACATTAAAGACTGTAAGTGATTTAACCTTGGATATTTCCTGAATCAAGTTTTTAAAATCCTCAACTCTCACCTATTGCTTTTCAACCCCATATTTATTCCGGTTTATTCTTTCCAACGTATTTAGGATAATCTAAAACATAAAGTAAAAAACCCCACATATATTATTAACTATAAACAACGCGGTTATGTAAATGCATCATTTTAGTTGACTTTTTTTTCTTTGGACTATTTTCTTTTCCTTTTTTTTTTGAGACGGAGACTTGCACTGTCGCTGGGGCTGGAGTGCAGTGGTGCTATCTTGGCTCACTGAAACCTCCACCTCTCGGATTCACACGATTCTCCTGCCTCAGCCTCCTTAGTAGCTGGGATTACAGGCGCACACTGCCACGTCTGACTAATTTTTGTTTGTTTGTTTAAAGTAGAGATGGGGTTTCACTATGTTGGCCAGGCTGGTCTTGAACTCCTGACCTCGTAATCCGCCCACCACGGCCTTCCAAAGTGCGAGGATTACAGGTGTGAGCCACTGTGCCTGACCTAGACTAATTCTTAAAGGAACGAATTAGATACATATAAAAGTTGAATGTACTATGCTTTTGTAAGTCAGTGTAATGATAGAGACATTTTGTTTTCTTAGCTATATTTTATCACAAAATAGTTCTAGTTACTTTTCTTTTAAATGGTTAATCTAATAAAGTAATAACTTGCTTTTTAAAACATAGTATATAACTTTTCTTTAAGGTAGAGGATGGAATTATTGACTATGAAGAGTAGGCTAAGGTTTTATTTGAAATTATCTCCCCTTTCTGCCATGGAAGAGTTTAATTCCCCTAATGTGCTTACTGTATTGAAAGTCCGTTGTTGGTGTTGGTATTGGAAGAAAGCTTAGTTTTTCTGCATTTCCTTAAAGGAGAGAGAAGAAAGATTTTTAAACATGAAAATCCATTTTTTTTTTCTTGATCAGAATTTATGCAATGTATTGGAAGTGAGACTAGAGTCCTTAAAGTTGAGAGAAACGGTAAGTCTGCACACACGCAGCAAAACTTTTCAGGGAATTTGCAGAGTTCAACGACCTGAAAAAAATCTTCAGACATTTTCCAGAGAGTGTTAGTCCATGAAAGTGGTACCCATGACCCCAAGAGGGTGCACACTGTCAGCCACCATTGAAGTAGTTTACTCCCTAAGAGGCCCAGGCTTTGGAAATAGTAGATTTGTGCCTTAAGCTCCCCTTGCCCCTTGCTACCTGAGTAAGCTACTCCGTCTATTTCACTAAGCCCCAGATAACACATGTTAAGCACATGCTGTGAAACCTGGAGTAATGGTGCTTAACACACTTTTAGGAAGAGACTTTTTCAGTTTAGTCCTAAAGCCTGTAGATGAGGCCGGGCGCGGTGGCTCATGCTTGTAATCATAGCACATTGGGAGGCTGAGGCGGGCAGATCATGAGGTGAGGAGTTCAAGACCAGCCTGGCAGTTATGCCCATTTCATAGGTGAACACACGGAGGCACAGAGAAGTAAAGAAGCTTACTTAGGGCCACTTATCTGTCACGGAACCAGAATCTAAATCGAAATAGGCTGTTGCCAATACGGATGGTAAGTACATGTATTTCTGGTAGGAGAGCAGAATAGAAGTTGACTGATCCTGAAAGTCTCAGAAATGGTGTTCTCATTTCTATTCTGCAAAGTATCACGTCTTCTAGGCCTACCTCTCTCAATATTGAAATACAAAATTAACTTTTTCTGCTTTTTATTTTACAAATCAACGGGAACAGTCTTAGTCATTTGTGTTTTATGAGTTTTAATTAGGCCACGGCAGTCCAGGAGGGGAATTCCTTGTTTTCAGTTAATCTCATATACTAACAAGTTTACTCATGCAACTTCCCCTATTTTTTCTCTAATGTTTCACTTGAAAGTGGGGGGTGGGAGGCAGAAGTATGTTAATTTGGGTCCTAGGGATGCACTTACATCAAGCTTTCTGGAAATTTTCTTGCTGGTATAGAATTAATCCATAGCAAAATGAAATGAGTAATAATCTGTATTTTACTAATATTTTTCTTCTTTATGTCCATCTAGTTCTGGATGTTTTTTGGAGGGAGAAGGTAAAACTTCTAGGTAAAGAAGTGCAAGAAGCTATCTGTGTGCATAAACCCTTGTATTTGGGTGTGGACTTAATTTTCAGAATATGGGAAGGAGGTTTCACATTGAGAATTTCCTCTTTCAGGCGTAGATTGAAAATTTTGACTTAGAAGATGAGAGCAGGTTACCCTAGGCTGTGGGTTCAGAGGGCTTGGAAATCTCTTTTAAAATTCCCTGGCCTTGGACTGAGCCTGTTCATAGGAGGATTTCTTGATCAGGCCTGCCTTCATTCTTTCATTTGTTTGTTCGTTCCTTCATTCATCCATATTATCACATAAGTCATTCAATATGTGCCTGTAAACAGGTGAAAGAAAGGATGGGAGTGAGAGTCCATCGGGGACGGGAGAGGAGTGGCTCTAAACTCACTCTGTGTTCGTTTCACCTCAGTGACTACATCTTTGATCTGATTGCCCCCTTTGAGACAATGTATATTTCACAGACAGACACTCACAACACTCATGAAGGTCTTTAAGCATCTTCCTTTGGGAACCAGGTTTCTTTCTTTAAAGTGAGAGGAGAAAATGCTTGTGAGGGAAAATCAATGCAGAGAAATGGTTTTTCTTTCTTTTTAATGTAGGTGGAAGAAGGGTCCATAGTAAGTAGGCAACTTATCAGTAAATGTGATCTAAGAGTGACCATGCTTTCAAATAATTTCCTCTTTTAAAGAATATTAAGTGCAGTGGTGTTTACAATTAATGATCACAACCACTTACAGATTGCTTTGTTCTGTCTCTACTCCTACTGCTTCACTTAACTACCCTAAAAAAAAAAAAAACATTAAGAGACAAAGGCCATCACAAAGAAGATGTCTTTTAAAATAATTTAAAAGTAGAATTTAAATTAATTTAAAGGTAAGACATATTGCTATTCCCTCAGTCAAACTCACTACAGCTTTTTCAAAATATCTCTAAGTAAATATGTGGAAAATGAGGAATGAAGGTAGGGGAGGACTTTTGGAATTTATACCATTATTCTTTCAAAAAACAGTACTCGCCTCCATGCTGCAGTTAGGAATACGCTTCCTGAAGACAGAGCCATTATCTTTACTTGTTATTTAAACCTTGCTATCACTTCCTATAGTTTCTGAAGGACGGCACTGTTCAAGTTCTCTTCAGTGGCGCAAACCCTGCCTGTGTATTTTCTGAAACAAGTTTGACCATACCAGCAAAGGCAATGAAAATCCTTTGTCTTTCAGCATGAAATGTGAAGTCTACATTATGAGTAGGTATATAGGCCCAGTGGAAGAAAATGTTAAAGTAGATTTAAAAACAAAACCAAAGTTACCCACACTCTAAAAGGATGTCTCAGTATTTCAAGGGTCTTCTATGGTAAAGCAAATAAGGACTCTCAGGACAAGTTAGGTTGATAATGACAGTGAATATCTACCTTTTTCCCCGTTCCATTTGGCATCCACACTCCAGAGGACCTTCCCTAATTTTCTATGCATGGGTAGCAGGGAGATTATAGAGAAACTGTTGCTTCTCCTGCTTTCTTTCTTTTTTTTTTTCCTTTTGAGACGGAGTTTCGCTCGTTACCCAGGCTGGAGTGCAATGGAGCGATCTCGGCTTACCGCAACCTCTGCTCCTGGGTTCAGGCAATTCTCCTGCCTCAGCCTCCTGAGTAGCTGAGATTACAGGCACGCGCCACCGTGCCCAGCTAATTTTTTTGTACTTTTAGTAGAGATGGGGTTTCACCATGTTGACCAAGATAGTCTCGATCTCTTGACCTCGTGATCCATCCGCCTCGGCCTCCCAAAGTGCTGGGATTACAGGCTTGAGCCACCGCGCCCGGCCTCCTGCTTTCTTTTTTACTGCTGGGGGGATAATCACTTTCCTACAGCTCTCGTCCACTTGGCCCTTGATACATTTGGAGTTTTGGTGAGGTGTTAACAAAACTGGTTTCAGGTGCCAACTAGATTTCATAACGTTTATAGCAGAACAACAGACAAAGATACCACATGGGAAATGTACATTTTACAAGAATATATTGCACGTCTACCACGTGCCAAACGGAGTTCCGGATCTGAGAACACAGCAGTGAATCAGGTCCCTACTCACATGAGGGGGTAGGCTGACAGTGATGGAACCCATAAGTACAGAGCAGGTGTTAGTAAACACTGCAGAGAAAAACAAAGTTGTGTCAGACAGAGTACCTGGGGGTCAGGGGTAGAGCAAGGTGAAGCAGAGGTAATGGGAAGGCCTCTTTGATATGACGAGGCCAGTGAGGAGCCAGCTGTGGGAGTGTCTGGAGGAAGAGGATTCCAGGCAGAGAAAATAAACCAGTAACTGCAACAGAGATGGGAGCAGGCTTTGTGTGTCCAAGAGACACGTCGTGGCAGATCAGGTAGGACTTTGTTGGCCACAGTAAGAAGCTGTTGGGAGGTAGGAAGTGATAACTAGAGAGTGAAGACAGTATTCTGAGAGTTTGGTGATTTATTGTAGAGATCCTGGAGAGTCGAGCCCCTTGTGCCTCATAACTGGAGTGTTTACAAATCGTGTGCAGTAAAATGCTACTTTTGTAACTTAAATTATTATGCTATGAAAACCTTAGTAAAGATAGATAAAGTCGAAGTATTTGAAGCACAACCAGAGCTAAAAAGCCCAAAGCGAGCAATTCTTCCTATCACAGCTACTCCTCAGAGAGATACGGGGTACCTGAACGTCTAGCTGTGGAACGTTTTGCTTTGATTAAAATTTGCCAAAATCTCATCTTCCCTAGGGCACGTCTTTGCTGATTTTTGCACTCAGCAACAAGCAGTTTAGAATTTTGAAGTGAAGGGATTTTAAGTCCATGTTTAAAATGCTTCATTTAAAAATAATTCTTAGTTGTATGTACAGGCAGATGATAAGCTCCCTCTTAAAATTCTGTATGAAAACTTAACTGTTTGGTACAGGTTAGTAAGTCTTGTTATACAGCACTTATTTTACAATTGGAGGTACAAAGAGAGCAGGGAAAAATGAAGGCAGTTGGCCAGGTGGGAAGGGTAAAATTGTTTTATGTATCTTTTCTCTTTTAAAGTTGGGTTAAAAACATTTGTGTACTGTCTTAAAGGTAGAGTGATTGCCATAAATCAATTGAAGCCGCCCCCGTCATTACTTCACTATAATATTCTGATACTGAATGCACCACCTTTTGTATAAGGAAACGGGCAAGTTCTGTCATCTGGGAGTTTACATGTTAAGAGACATTGCATGGGTGAGAACAGACATAAAAGGTATGTATAATTATACCGACAACATACAGGGTGTAGAAAGGGACTTGATAGCCTTTTATAGGTGTCATCCAGGTTTATCTTATCTGAAATACTGCCTGAGACTTCATACCGAATTCTTACCACATAGCCTGACTTTAGTTAGTCATACATTTGGGTTGGGTTAACCCTCATATTCTTTTAGCAAGGGACCCACCGACAGAAAAGAGTTATTGGTTTTGTCATTTATAGTTTAGTTCAGCAAGACCGGATTTCCTCACCACCTTTGGCTGAAACTGACTGACTAAATCAGTTTCACTTGCGGGGTAGAGAAATGAGTAATTTGGGAACATAGAGTGTTGTGTGGAGGAGAGCTTAGTTTGCTCCTTTTCATGCTCTGCTTAGGTGTAAGAAGTCTGCATTGAGAGAGGGAGAAAAATTTGGGACATCATGGGGGAACTTGACCCCCTTGGATGAGAGACACATTGGGAATTGAGAGAGAAAGATGTAAAAATGGACCAGGAGAGGATGTAGGGAAGCCCCAGGGGAGCCAGAGAATTTCTGGTCCTAAGCTCAAATGTCAGCCTCAGTTCTTCCTAGCATCCTGGACACGAGGTCCCTTCTGGTTTATCTCTTGTGAAACAAGGGGCACACTCCTGACGTACTGAGCACCCCTTCTCAGAGGAGCTGGGAGGACGAGGACTTCAGGTTTTAAGACACCTTCCCCAAGTCTTCTGCATCCATTTCTCTAGTGAATCTACTTTCTAAGTATAGATTAATGTCTGAGAGATAGACTTTAAGATTCCTTTTCTACCAGTCTCTGACCTCTTGTTTTGAGGAAGACATGTATTGTCCCTGAAGTGGCGAGTTCTGTTTTGTCCTTCGTCTAAGATTGGTCGCGCGGTCTTGATTTTCCAGGGCTTGAGACCTTTTGCCCCATGTGCTCCGGGATTTCCCCCTTCTGCCCCGCCATATAAATAGACAACTTGCTGCCTGTCTTCTAAGACCTTCATATTTTTCCCTGTGACTTGAGTCTGTTCTGGAACAATTGTGTGGTGGCTGGGCCCTGCAAAATGAGTCAGTTCCTGCAGTTTGGTTACAAGTTCTCAAAAAGTATTTCAGAATGTGGATGTGGTCAGCAGAGTCATTTTCCAGACATCTAAAAGGAAACCCACATCAACTGTAACAATTGAGCTATGAACCAATGGGTCTATGCAACAGAACGGGGCCTGCTTTTCCTCAAAGCCTGTAGGTGCCCCCAAATCTAGCCTTCTCTACGCATCGGAAGGGAGAATTCATCTTCATGCTTGTTTTATCTATTGCTGCTGACACAAAAAATGCCATAGAGGTTTTGGCTTTCATCACCTTTTGAATGTGGGCGCAAATTTGACATAAGAAATAATTAGTAAAATGGAATCTATGGGATTAGAGTATAATTATTACAAAGTGTGAAATGTGGCTTGGGGGATAGACGCTTGGGTAATTGAGCTAATGCTCAATGGAGTAGTTAAGATAGTTTAGGTACCAATAAAGTACATCAAAATATGATTGT